ATTAGGCCTTTGTAATCACCGCACGACGCGCGACTAACATGGCAACTAACACGCGCGTGGGTAAATCGTCACGTACGCTGACGGTTTTTGGTCTGGTTGCTATGGTTTTTGTGACGTTCAGCGTGTAGGGACGCACGTGCGCCTAGAATGTCGATGCCAGAGTTATAACCTTTGATGTCCCGAGGTGTGCGTCCTTTTGTTGAATTACCTTTGTGTAATATAGCCTTTCTGCAAAGATACTAGAAACAAGTTATCCTCCATTAGTGGAAAAAGAAGGCGCCGTGTGCGTCTGGATATACTTCAGAGCCGTAGATAGAGAGAGTTTGGCCAACTCGGTTTCAGGAGATTCTGCTATACGCGCGTGTGATTGGGTGGATCGCAATCACATGACTTGCACCGGCCATATTGTTACATAAACAAAACATTGGCGAGCCACTTTAGCAGTTATGATAGATGATTAAGGCTATGTGAAATACCGTTATGTTCGGTTTGAGGGTTGCTGCAATCGATCCAAAAGAACAAAAATGTATCAATTTCCTTAAATTTCATAAAGGAGGAGGATTTGGGGGTTTTATTTAAAATTTGAATGGCGATCGAATATTCTCGCTATCCACGCATTCAAAAAAGGCATTGTGTCGGCCGCCCGCCCCACTTTGCGGTAATCCTAGATTTCAGTACATCACGCGGATTGCCGCCATTGTTATTTTTGTAAACGAGGTAATTTCAAGTACTTTCCTCCAAAATACGTGTTGCTCTATCTCCACACGAAATAAATGTCGGATACCAATTATAACAATTCATTATTTTTTCCCCTTCTATTTTTCGGTGTTTAACCCTCACCACGATTCTTAATACGGCGAGTTCGTCGTTGTCTATTTCCGAGCAGTAGGTCTACGTTGTAATGACGTTAGTGTTTTGTCTGTGTTGGTTGTTCGTTTGTGCGAACGTTCTAGGATTATGGTTAGCCATCAGGGCCATAGAAAGCGCCGTAATCACAATGAAAGTTATCTTCATAAAAAGCGCCGCCGTAATGCATTCATAAGCACCGTAATGCCATTCATTTTCAACCAATCACAGGTTTAGGATGACGCCAACTGGGTCATAATGAAAGCGCAGTGATCATAATAAAAGCGCCATAATCATAATGAAAGCACCGTAATCATAATGAAAGCGCCGTAATCTATAGAGTTCCTATATAGACAGAACTCTACCGTAATCATAATTAAAGCGCCGTCATGCTATTCACTTTTAACCAATCATAATGATTACGGCGTTAACTTGTTCGACAAAAGCGCCGCTTTGAGTAGCTGGCGCAAGGGCCACACAATTGGCCAATCACATTCCATCTTTCATGTTTGCTGAATTTAACGAAAATGTGATGGATGGTTTGACTAGGCGCGCCACTATCGCTTTTGGAGCCATTCAATACATGAACCGTGAGCAATGGATGTGCAAAATTTAAAATTCCTTCAAGTAGGGCCTACAGTACGTCTAAATGTATCCATCAATCGTCTTGTTACTGAAGCAGTTAATGATGAGGATAATGGGAATTTTTGCCTGCGTGATGAGTAACTAAATCCTTAGAATAGTTCTTTATCTAGCCTAGGCCTAGGGTAGGCCAGCCTAGCCTAGAGTTACGTCATTAAACATTAAAACATTATTAAAAAAAAAAAAACATTAAAATCATTAAAACATTATTATTATTATTATTATTATTATTATTATTATTATTATTATTATTATTATTATTTAAAAACATTAAAATCATTAAAACATTATTATTATTATAATTAATTAAAAAACATTAAAATCATTTAAACATTATTATTATTATTATTATTTAAAAACATTAAAATAATATTTTCATCACGATTGAGAGGAAAACATGTAGGTATTCGTTTTTCTGATCTTCGGTCTTCGTTTTGTAGACACCCATATAGGGTGTCATAAAACGAAGACCCTTAAGTATTTCTTGATATTCCTCATTTTATTCCGATAAAATAATGAAATAGGTACTCGGCAACTGTTTTATGATGATTTTGAAATACTTTCAATAAGATAATTAATTGAGAACTAAGGTCTTCGTTTTTCGGGTCTTCGGTCTTCGTTTTGTAGACACCTATGGGCGAATTTTTATTACTTATTTGATAGGCATCGAGTTACTATAATATGACTTCATGTAGGCTATGCTTTCTTGTTGACATCAGCTTCCAAAACCAAAACATTTTGAATAAAGCAAGAAACAAAGAGTATGCAATGTAACCATCTAATTTATTTTCAAATCCTCATTCTTGAAAATTTGCATGAAATCTGTCAACCACGTTGTCATGGTCGAGGTTGCTTCACCTATCACAGGGGCGTACGGTGAAAAATCTAAGGGGAGGTCGAAACGAAAGCGCAGGGGGAAAGCTGAACTCGGAGCAATTTAGCGAAGCTTTCAGAATTCGCGGGGTGCCTTATTTGTGAGTGAAGCGAGCAACTAGGCTGGGGCTAGGGGGCCGCAAAAGGGGAAAAATTTACGTTCTAGTGCATTAAGTTCAATACCAAGTATGACAAAATAGGCCTAATTGTAAACGTAGTTTTTGGGCAACACCAGACTATATTCACTCAATATACCCCTGTTGGCGTCATCCTAAACCTGTAATTGGTTGAAAATGAATGGCATGACGGCGCTTTAATTATGATTACGGCGTTGTTATTATGATTTCGGCGCTTTCTTTATGATTACGGTGCTTTTAATATGATCACGGCGCTTTTTTTTTGTAACACGTTAACGACGCTTTCATTATGACCCTGTTGGCGTCATCCTAAACCTGTAATTGGTTGAAAATGAATGGCATGACGGCGCTTTAATTATGATTACGGCGTTGTTATTATGATTTCGGCGCTTTCTTTATGATTACGGTGCTTTTAATATGATCACGGCGCTTTTTTTTTGTAACACGTTAACGACGCTTTCATTATGACCCTGTTGGCGTCATCCTAAACCTGTAATTGGTTGAAAATGAATGGCATGACGGCGCTTTAATTATGATTACGGCGTTGTTATTATGATTTCGGCGCTTTCTTTATGATTACGGTGCTTTTAATATGATCACGGCGCTTTTTTTTTGTAACACGTTAACGACGCTTTCATTATGACCCTGTTGGCGTCATCCTAAACCTGTAATTGGTTGAAAATGAATGGCATGACGGCGCTTTAATTATGATTACGGCGTTGTTATTATGATTTCGGCGCTT